TTTCTACCTCAAACGGTCGGAGCGAATTCGGTTCACTCGCGACATGATACTAAAACCTTTGTTACAGCTTAGAGGCCACTACCAAAAAATCTCCCACTCTATAAAACAAGAACGTCCCCATACTTAGATCTCAAAATACCTTAAACACGCGAACGCCGTTAAAACAGGGTTGGAATAATCCATATAGTTACTTTTTATTAGACAGTAGAACTTTGATCCATTTCAGACGGATCAACCTAAAACTCTCCTTATCTCAACATAACAATATAAAACACACTCAAGAAATTTAAATTGGGTACTCACATACCGGCACACTCTAGAATTGGAGTAAATAAACTAACCAGCAACTCTAGCAAAAATTGGTAATCAAGTTTGACTCAAGAAGTTTTCGATAAGTCAGTTTTAACTCAAGAAACAAGTTTTGGTTCTGGACCATTGGGAGACTTCGCTTGTCCATCTTTCCACCGAAGGTTCACTCTGGTCCACTTCTAGTTAGACTATGATGAACTAATCTCAAACACATGGCGAATATGAGCAGTGAAACTTGATTTTACAAGGGAGAGATCCCTTGCCTAGTGAAGCTGAAGTCATGGTACTTACATCTTCCACTATAGTCTTTTCCTACTTAACCCCTCTGTACACCGCCTTCGAAATTGACAACTCCTATTCTCGTACATGAAGAACTATCTTTTTGTTTTATACATGTATTTTCTTTTAACTCTATTGATATTTTTCATGTTCTCACACTTGTATTATTTTTTTTAGAAGACTTAATTTTTTACTTCTGATCACCGCCTTAAAAAAAAGAATCTAATTTGACCTATTTTTTTCGTTTTCTCAATAACTGCCACTCTTTTATTCGAGGAACACTTGGTTTAAATGTTTTGAGCTTTTCAGGAAAATTCCCTGTATAAGCGGCTACGCCAAATTGTTTTTTTTTTCTACATAAAACGTTATGGCCCTCGTATTAGTCCAGTTTGTGATTCAGGAGTTTTGTGATTCTTTATGACTTCTCTCGAAAGCTATTATTTGAAATCTGATGTTGTGAGATTTAGGGAGGTAACTAGCAAGGGGAAGCTCCCCTGCATTAGCGGCTACTCACATAATTTTTTAACAAAAAAAGTGATCGCTCTCGGAAACGTCAAACTTATGATTTTTTGACCGTTTTTCATAGTTTTTGAGTATTATCGAAAACTTCCATGCCAAATCTGAGATTCTGTGTTCAATTCGAAGAACGGGTTATGGGTAGCTCATTTGGTTATGCAACCACGCCCCAATTTTTTTGACTCCAAATTTTATGGTTTCGATTTTGACCGTTTTTTTAAAGTTTTTTTTTTAAATCGAAAACTACCCTCCCAAACCTGACATTTTGGGTTCATTTGAACATAAAATCCTTATGCGTAAGCGGCTCCGACTTGTTTTCTACAAGTAAGCGGCTACTCGAAAATGACATTTTTTATGTTGACAGTTTTTTGGACTTTTCTCAATACCTATTATGCCAAATCTGATATCATAGGTTTACTCAATACAATAGGTTGTTGAAAGCCTATGTGTATAATTGAACATGCCCGGATTGTTTAAGAAAAAAATTAAGGCCTTCGAACAAGTCAGTTTCGTAACTTTTGGGATCTTTTGGACGTTACGCGAAAATCACCTAGCCAACTCTGAGGTTTTGTTTAATCGAGAAATCCGGGTTTTGGGAACCTTTTCTGCAAAAGCGCCTCAAAATTCAGGGATACTATCTCTCGTGTTTTTCTACCTCAAACGGTCGGAGCCATTTCGGTTCACTTGCGACATGATACTAAAACCTTTGTTACATCTTAGAGGCCACTACCAAAAAATCCCCCACTCTATAAAACAAGAACGTCCCCATATTTAGGTCTCAAAACACCTAAAACACGCGAACGCCGTTAAAAACAGGGTCGAAACAATCCATATAGTTACTTTTTATTAGACAGTGGAACTTTGATCCATTTCAGACGGATCAACCTAAAACTCTCCTTATCTCAACATAACAATATAAAACACACTCAAGAAATGTAAATTGGGTACTCACATACCGGCACACTCTAGAATTGGAGTAAATAAACTAACCAGCAACTCTAGCAAAAATGGGTAATCAAGTTTGACTCAAGAAGTTTTCGATAAGTCAGCTTTAACTCAAGAAACAAGTTTTGGTTCTGGACCATTGGGAGACTTCGCTTGTCCATCTTTCCACCGAAGGTTCACTCTGGTCCACTTCTAATTGATCTCTTCTTTACTTGCGATCGATCTGCCTTCTGTTTCGAATAAGACAGCTCTACTCTCGTGTATTCTTATATCTGGAAATTGCGAATAGCAATTTCCTTCTGCTTTTTTCGACTACTTTCCGGCTATTGTAAATCGGTTCTTCTGATATTATGTTTCTTATATTTTCAGTTGTCGCGAAAAACTTGATCATGACATGTCCAATTCAAATGTTTGAAAAATTTGATTTCACCCCAAAATCATGTTTCTTGCGTTGTTCAAGATCAGACTTTCAAATGTTACCGTCTGGCACATACTCCCCGGACTCAAGATCGATGTCCTCATCGCGTGTCGCCGTCTGCCAGTGAGCCCCCAGAATGTTGAGTGTTGCTCAAGATACAGTGCCAGTGGTCATTTACAGAAGTTTGCAGCAGATTTAACTTTATCTACACCCCAAAATGTGTCCTCTATATTCCATCAGCAGAGTGGGACGTGATTTCCTTTTTTTCAGTTTCGCATCTGTAGCCCGTTGTTCCTTTTGAGTAAAAATTTTAATTATTGCGTTCTCGAGTATTGGATCGTAATATGGAGGTGGGTACTGGTTTTTCTCGAACATGCACTTTGCTGAAACTATTGCATCGTGGAATTTGTTCCAACTCGACGATCGTTCTGCCTTCTGTTTCGAATAAGACAGCTCTACTCTCGTGTAATCTTATATCTGGAAATTGCGAATAGCAATTTCCTTCTGCTTTTTTCGACTACTTTCCGGCTATTGTAAATCGGTTCTTCTGATATTATGTTTCTTATATTTTCAGTTGTCGCGAAAAACTTGATCATGACATGTCCAATTCAAATGTTTGAAAAATTTGATTTCACCCCAAAATCATGTTTCTTGCGTTGTTCAAGATCAGACTTTCAAATGTTACCGTCTGGCACATACTCCCCGGACTCAAGATCGATGTCCTCATCGCGTGTCGCCGTCTGCCAGTGAGCCCCCAGAATGTTGAGTGTTGCTCAAGATACAGTGCCAGTGGTCATTTACAGAAGTTTGCAGCAGATTTAACTTTATCTACACCCCAAAATTCTCAACCATGCAAAATTGTCACATTATCGCTAAACAGCAATCAAAATCTGCATACACCTGCACCCTAAATTTCCGCTTTGCAAGCTAATGATTAAATTTTTTTTGTCTTATCCAATCAGAAAATTGTCATGCAGCATTTTGATTCATATAATAGATATAGCATAATAATAACAATACTTTAGTTCATTAAAATTTCTTTTTCCGTGACCTCAGATTTTATCCAAGTTCACACTCGAGGCCCTTTTTCCTTCCCTCCCAAGACTCAAGAAACCGACACTGAGCTTCCTTCTCACTTCATGCTCCTCGCCCTTGAGATTCTAGGACCTGATGCATTCGACAATGTGATCTGCCTCAGCAGCGCTTTCTCATCGTCGGAGCTGATCACGATCTCTTCCCAAGCCTTTAGTTGTTCATAGGATCGCATTCACTTCCTCTGCTCTTGCAATCTCTTCGCCTGGCTCGGCAAACAAGTCGTCCTGGATCTTCAGTCTGGTCCAGAATCTTGGAGCAAATTTCTGAAGCGTCTCCGATGCAGTTTTCGAGGTGACTTCCCACGGGTGAGCTGATACGGGTATGTTCCGCTAGTCGGGTCATCAAATGCCGTGTCGTCTGACCGACATAGCTGGACTCGCATCCAGAACAGGTTATTTCGTAAATGACTCGGCTTTTCAGATCATCTGGTATCTTGCTATTCAGGGAAGGTAAGAACGTTTTCATTTTCCGTGTGGTAAACAGAACGCAGGCTTCTGTGATCTTCCTGATACTTCTACTGAAACGGTCGGAAATGTGTCCTCTATATTCCATCAGCAGAGTGGGACGTGATTTCTTTTTTTTCAGTTTCGCATCTGTAGCCGTTGTTCCTTTTGAGTAAAAATTTTACTTATTGCGTTCTCGAGTATTGGATCGTAATATGGAGGTGGGTACTGGTTTTTCTCGAACATGCACTTTGCTGAAACTATTGCATCGTGGAATTTGTTCCAACTCGACGTGGTGTTATTGATGCGACAGACTACCTTCTATGATATTTCGCTTGTACAGTTTCGGGGCACATGCCCGGAAAGACAACATGAGGCCTGTATCCGTGGGCTTGCTATACCAGGAAGTGCTGAGTTTCCCATCTTTACTGAGATGAAAAGTTCAATTGAAAAAACCTGTTTCAATAATTGTTCATACAGTAGTGGCGACTCCTTAAATTTTTGTAAGAGAAATGTTAAATTCATGGCAATACTGATTATCTCAAAATTAATAGAGAAACAACTAAGTTTTTGGGCAAAGTCCAATTTTTGAAATCAAATTTTTTGTGCCGCATGAGCATAGAAAATTCATTCAGTATGAAGCATGGCTGGTATCCCTTTAGCTGGGCTCCTAGTTGTTTTTTATCGAGACATACGGAAACTTTGGTTCAACTGGTTTTTTTTAACATTCAGTTTTTTTAGACTTTCTTATGTTTGTGTTGTATCGCAAGTGGTGCGAAGCTCCGCTTCGCCTCTGTGTATAAATCTCATATTTCAATTCGTCGTTACAATCTCGGTAATCTTCGAGTTCAAACATTTTGGCGATAAAAAGAAGAAATTAAAAATAAAGCATTAAAAGAACCGACTAATCGCTGGGATTTTTCTGGTTTCTCAGATGGGTTTTGTTAATACTCGTACTTTTTCCAATGTTTATCACAATTGTACTCTTCTAGAGCATATGAGAGCAATAAATCGCCTTTAAGAAATGTCTCGAGACGACCAGAGTGTCGGAACGAGTCATTCATCCCAGCGCAGGCTTAAGCGTAAATTCAAATCGCCCCAAAAACCTCCCGAGGCGAAAAAGTCTTGTGCTCAATATTCATGTCGAACCTTATTGGATATCTGCGCAGAAGTAGTCGCTGTAAGCATTCCATTCCAAACTGTAGAGGACCGGTTCTCTCCTGTCCCAGAAGCAGTGCAGTTGAGAATTATATACTGGTCGTTCCCAAGAAACGAAGATGAGATCCGAATGTACTCGTCAATTTCTTCCTCTGTTGGTGCTAATCACGATGCCATGAAATACACCAGTGCGTTCTCTTCTGTTGTAGAGTCAAGTGCCAGTGCAGCGGGGCCTAAGCAGCAGTTCAATCGAGCAGTCCGACTTCTGAATGACGGAAATGTTCGAGATGCGCTGCAAATAGGGTTCCACTTGAGTGGAAGTATCAACTGCCCTAACTCAAAACCAAGTTCTTCCGATTTCGACTTTCTCAACGACGAAAAGCAATACAAAGTGTCAATCAATTTCGATAGGTGCAAAATTACATCAGTTTCATGTACCTGCGACAATAAAGACATTTTCTGGTGTCCTCATGTTGTGGCCTTAGCATTGTTCCGAATCAGATGTGCTAAAGAAGTGAAGTATCGTCTTCCCATTTCTGAGTCACTTTGCCAAATGACCAAAGATCAGCTACAAAAATTGTGCATGTATACGATAGCTCAACATCATCGGGACATATTGCCCACATGCCAACAAGTTGTCGATTCATTATTGAGTCCTAATTCCAAAATAAGCGTGCTAGCCGGATATCCAGACCCTACTGCAGGAGCAAGCCGAGATGACGATAACTGCTACTTTATCGATGAAAGTCAAGTGCAAGAACAGGTCAAATTCTATCTCTCACAGGGTGGCTATTATAACTCTGCCAAACAACTCAAGTGCATGTTTTCAAAGATCAAAGAAATGCTGAAAGCTCGCGATACGAATGGTCCACGAATGCTGCGCTTGATCACCCTCGAGTTCATAGCTGATCCAAAGTTGAAGATTTGGCACAACCAAGGCAGTGCCATGACAGAAAAGTCTAGAATTCTGTGGGATACCCTTGGCTACATGTGGCTAATGGTAGTGTTCAATCCACTGTGTCCGTCTTCTTTAAGAGAAGACTGGCGAGCGTGTCTAACAGAGTGGCACTCGAAGCCAGAGTGTCCTCTTGAAAACCCAGATCTGCCAAATATTGACCTGGTTGCCGATGACAAGCGATCTGTGTTCAGTCGCGCATTAGATACTTACTCTTTTACTTGGGATGACGCACAGTTGCAAGCTCTTTTAAAACGTCATCGGAGAGCCCAGTCTGGTTCAGATCCAATGAGAAAGTCCTCTGATCTGAAATATTGGGATGAAGAAATATCAATAGCTACATGCAGGGTCGATACCTTACGCTGTAATGGATTTGAGAACGAATCCATAGTTCTCTCTCTTGCAGTGATTCGAAGTTTGAGAAGACGCTTGAAAAAGAAGGTGACGAAGTCTCGAAGAAGCGACGATCCAGTTATTGAGTCAGCGGACTCTTGGGTAGGGAACCCTTCCGAACCCATTCTTGCCCTGGTTGACCTCTTACTAGAGGTGAGCGAAGACAACTCGGCCAGCCCTGCTGCAAAATTTACCCACATTCCAATACCTGATGGACTGAGCCCTAGAAGCGAAGAAGATTCTTATCTCTGTTTGGCCTTCGAAGTTGCCATTCTCGGAATGAGTCAACACAGATTGCTTCCTGCTGGTCTCTATGCTCAAGAACGCCTGTGCAGAGCAGAGGAATTGATCATCTCAAAGCTGTCAAATGTTAACATGGACACCCGCATCGTCAAGACTCTGATGCTCGTGTCGATGGCCTTGATGAAAGGATTCAATAATGGACTGGCGGCACAAGTTCACCCGGAAAGTGTGCCGATGCAAATCTTGTGCAAATACCTGTTTGAAATGTTGGTTCACGTTGAAAGGGAACTGGCATTTGAGATAGGTGTTCTAGGATTGCGACTGCCAGTGACTGATAACAATCAAACTACGGACGATACTGAGAGTTTGATGTTCAACGCGGAGAATACCCGCTGGTACACTTTGGGCAATTTCCAGTCTCGACAAGTAGAGCTGGCTTTGACCATGTTTATTGGGGCAAATGATAATATGTTGTTCATCAAAAAAGTGCTAGACGCAGTGCAATTTCATCTCAAAAGTGCTTCGCATCTGTTTTCCTTGGCTCAGGATATTCACAAGAAAGCGACTGGCGGAACTGTGGAATCTGACTGCAAGAAAACACTTCTAAACGTTGCCTTCGAACTCGGCCTACAACTGCTGCGAATCACACTCAGGGCGTCAACGTGGAGGCGCAGTGAAATGGTCACATGGCAAATAAATTGTGCGATGGATGTGGGAGCAGGAGCTTTGATCTCAATGATGCAGTCCTGGTCTAATTTCCTCAGTCCGAAGGAAGCCACAAGTAATTTGTCTTCAACTGTCATGAATCGCGATACTCCAATGCGGCTGCAGTTGAACTATACACAAATCCAGGAGCTCAAAAACTGCACTAGGACTCTGGTACTGCAGTGTACTAGGAAGGACCCAGCCAACTGTGCGATATATGCTCTCACCTTTTGTGAAAATGACAGACAAGCATTTGAAGCTGCTTACAACATAGTGTTAGAAGCATCGCCAGGAACGCTGACGTCCAGTCAGTTGTTCACAATTGCGAGGTTCCTGGAACAGCGCATGCACAGATACCGTGCATTCAAGCTATCTAACTTGGCTTTGAAGCGATTGAAAATCGGAGCAAGCCAAGAAACTCATCATTCGGTCAACGACGTTCATTGGGCAGTGGCCATCAGTTTCCAGCTCGGTAGGTCGGAAATTGTGGCCACTCTGAGACAGGTTATAAGCAGCGTACAATGTGCCAACGTACTCTCAGATATTCTGAGACGTTGCACAATGTCTGCTCCCAACGTGCTGGACAGCTCAAAGAGATCGGCGGGATCCAAGTCTCCCGGCGGCGGTAGCTCCTCCAGCAGGTTTCTCAACATCAATCAGAGTCCTCTGAATGAGCTTCTGGAAGCAACTTTGAATGCATACCTGTCGGGAATCACTTCAAGATTGCAGCACATTAGTCCCAGACACTACACAGACTTCTTGACTCTCCTGCACAAGGCTCGTCATACATTCAGTCTAGCTCCGAATGGGCGCGAGAGGTTCGCCCAGTTGATGGAGAGTTTGATGACCACTCATAAAGGAAAGAAGAAGTTGATGCAACTCATCAGACAGACATTCCCCACTTTCACAGCCGCCGATGTAGCATCTACCTCCCGAGTTTAGTTTCGACTTCGAGCATAGCCAGCAGTCATCTCGTCTCCTAACTAACTGAAGTTCCCTTTTAATATTACTTTGTGTCCTGTCGCGGCCTGCAAATTAGTCCGCGGCTGTTTTTGTCGTTTTGACCAAGGTTTTTGAATAATACATAAAAGCCCTCGAATTGAATGCACATAAATTGTTGTGCCGTAGTAATCATGGTTTTTGATCCCTTCAAATATTGCGAATAGCATTTAGCTTAGTGTAATTAAATCAAGTTATTGAATGAATGCTAGGCGACATTTAAAAAAGCTCGATGCAGTTAAGAGCAATATTGTGAATATGACATATAGATATGAAGATATTTAACTGAACGTTAACTTCATACTTTCCACATTGCACATAGTTATCGAGTCAAGATCTGATCAAGGGGGGGCTGTTAGCAAAGAATTTAATTGAGGGCAGTGGCTAAACCAAATACAGTTTGATTCCTTTCTTGAGATCACGTATGTTTTCCGTCTCCTAGTGTCATATTGGATCAACAGTACAATCTCCCCTCCCCAAGCGCGCTGAAAATACTACTGTAGAAAATTTTTAAAACCGACTACCTATTTTATCTTAAAAAATTAAGCATAATTTGATATCGATTGATTTTTTTTGACTAATTTAGATCATTTTTGCCCTCGTAGTTAATTTCTGAAAAACCGGTATTTTGTACCCCCTAAATTGATTTTTTTTGGGGGGGGGGGGTGGATTGCACTGTTGATGCGTCATATTTGACAAGTACAATTTGTCACATGCTCAATCTGTTTCAGCAGTCGATTTTGTGATGTTTCATTTAGGGCTTCCCCGTTTAAGTTTAATTTTGGTCTTGATTGAGTTCAGTTTATACAGAATATTAGTTTATTTCTAAGTAGCTTACAGTGGCCTACGTTCTCCCTCCAATGTCTCGCAATTACTGGATGGGGAATTGTTCGTTTTTTCAATGGCCGAAGCCATCATTATTCCAAGTGACTTTAACACATCTAATTATAGTTAGTTTTGTACAAAAGTAATTTGATATATCTAGTAACCTGTTGTTTTTGGGCCAGTCAATAAGTAGTCCATTTACTATTTGCCATCCAAACATGTCCTGGACTTGAATGACTGGCCTTTTCAGCTGTCAAAAATTGAATGTTATTTTGATTATCGCGCATTTTTGAGTCACTCTGTTTTTATCAGAATGTAAATTGGATATATCAGAGATCAAAGCACGCAGGGTTAGAATTTTGTAATTTTTTTTCAAAAACAACTTTGGTACCGTGTATAGTCGATAACCAAAAATATATAGACGGCAGCATTCGAATTTTACATGTGAAGTTATTTTATACTGACTCGGATGAAATATTTATTAACAAGTCTATTCGTAAAACTCCGCCTCCTTCTAAGCTATTCAAGGTCACACATCTCACATTGCAGTTTAACCGTAAGCGTTCATTGTATTAGGTGATCTACTTTCATTCTTCACATATTTGGCTGTTTAGTTGCTGTGCAATTAATTCTGATACCGTTTTTGATATGTAATATTACCTTTATCTACTCTTTTTCAATTTACAACAGTTCACTTAATTTTTTTAAGTTTCGATAGCAGGAAAAGAAGTTGCTCAGCTTTTGTTCTCCGGAAAAATTTGATTACATCGATTCCGCGTACATTGTCCCTGGAATCCGCATTGGGTTCCGCAAGTTGTGTTGGGTTTCATAACTTGTCGAAAGTCCCCTGAAGTTGGAGTTCCCTGAAGATGGAATTGAAGACAAATTTGAGCACCTCTGCTGAAGAAAGGGGCGAAGTTTTGTATCTGGGAGTTTTGTGTCTCACCTTTGAATTCCTTAGAGATACTTCGAATGGGTTCAGTCTTGGCTCGAGTGTCAGAATAAATTGAGATTCAGATCATGCGTTGTTCTTTTTTTCAGTGAAGTGTGTCTGTTATGTTGAAATTGAACTTTTGGAAAATGTTGTAAAACAGGTAAATTATAGATCGCTGTTTTGCAAAAGAAATGGCGAGAAGTGTTTTTGCTTATGGGCTCAGAGGTAAATCAAGGTACACGATATGAACGACAAGGGTCGATGGTGTGAACCCGGCTGGCAAGGGCTTGTATTTTTTGCCAATAGTCGTGGTATGGACGGGACTTCTGCTCGGCGTTTTTTTTGGCTGGCGATTTGGATAGATTTTGATTAAGTTGTCTCAAGTTGTGAGAAGACTTGAGTTGACTGCACTAAACGGTCAAGCTGCTACAGTGTCAGCTCCGGTTTTTTTTACTCGAAGAAGGGAATATTTATTTTTAGATGTTTTTATTCTGACCATTTTCGTCTTTTTGGTAACCATTTTTGACGCAGAGGACTATTGGCGTAGTGATAGCTTATCGTACATGATACCAATGACAATATTTTGAACACATTTGAACTTCTTTGTCGAAACAACATATAGTGGTCGGGAGGGAGTTTAACTCGATGTCTTTGGTTTGCGATTTTTCTAAACAAATTTTGAATGGAACCCCTTTTCTCAAGTTACAGGAAAATATAAGCTGACTCGGCTGTAAGCGGTCTAGGTGCCGCGTCAACCATTGGTTTTGTTCCGACTAAATTCATCTTTTTAATTAGTGTTTTCGAAGAAATTTTTGTACCATCCAAAAGACTTTGATGTGTTGAGCTCAAAATTAAGGAGATATTTCACCGGTCACAATTTATGTACAGGCATAGGGTTTGGAAATTATCAATTTTGTATTCGTACGGTTTACAAATGCGGGCTATTTAACAGTTTTCTAAAGCGTGTGCGGCGAAATAAATCATTGCAAATTTAGTTGTTCCAATTAACTTGTTAATAGATGGGAAATATTTCTTGCTGTATTTGATATTGCGGCTGGGCGAGGAAGGTTTAACAACAAAAATTCAAAAACTGCATTCAATTTAAATTGCAGTCGGAACATTCAAGGGTCAACACTGATACGAGCAGTCAGTGTTTTTTGTTGAGTTGTCTTGTCTTAAAATGGGCTAGGTTGTCCCAAAACTTGAATTATGACAGTTTGTTCCTTGGTTTGTGCTGGTTGAACTTGTCTTTTTATACAAAACAAGCTTGCGAGGGAGTGTTATAGGTCAATCTGACTTTGCGACACTTCTGCTGTATAGCTTTTTGGAATTGAGGAGAATTTCCATCCTCTCTGTTGGTGGTTAGTAATTCTGGACTGCAAACTAGTATAGCGCAGATTGCAGCATATTCGACGCTAACTGCGAAGGCGAAGCTTCAAATTCCGTAAGGTGCATTTTGATACTTTTTAGTAGTTTTTGAAACTTTATTTTTCTCTTCCATTTCAAAGACTTTTTTGCCATTGTTTGCGCGTGTTTGCGAACTGCAGCATTGTCGCTGGGAGTATATTTGTTCTTTGTTGATGATTATGATGATGATGATGCAGGCTTTACAACCCATTCTTATCGCAAAGGTGGACTGTATGGTCAGAATGCTTGTCAGAATAAGTACCTCATAAGAGATCCTTTGAATGTCTCGTAACTGTTTGAATTGCGCACAAATATAGGAAGAGCGTACCATGTAAGTGCTCCACTATAAATAAACGACCTCTTTTGTAGCTCAGCGCGGCAGAAAGTTACTTCATAATTCGATCTTCGCAAAGGTTAAGGCAGAAATAAATTGGTAAGATAACATGGGGCACTTTTATCGTGAACTTTATACATGATACACGCGACCTCATACTGTATCCTTTGTTTAACTGGAAGCCTATGTAACTCCTTGAGTAGAGCACTAGTGTGACAGTTACGCCTGTCATTGAAGATAAATCTAGCGGTGAAATTTTGAATTCGTTGTATTTTGTTCAAAAGTATACTCGGTAGACACAAATACATAGCGTTGCAATAGTCCAACAGACGAGAAAAAATCATTTGGCGAACCATTTGCGTTGTTCAAATGCAAGGTACTCTTTGATTGAAAAAATTTCAGCTGCATATAGCAAATGTGAGAGACTTTTAATATTTGTTTTTTCTAATTTCATTGTTCTCAAGATTAAAACCAAGAATTTCTACGGTCTCACTCATTTGACTGCGACATCCAATCAAGTCTAAACAACTTTATGATTAGAGGGGAATCTTTCTTTTCGCTGAGAAGCAAATAATGTCTGTCTTTCCTTTGTTGAGTTTCAATTGAATGAAAAATTGTACAATAACTGACATTATTTCGTTAACCTAGTTTATTGGAATGTCATTCTTAAACTCAAGAGAAATGGTCCATCACCAGCTTAAAAATGGCACTTTTGCTTCTCTCTGCCTATGAAATCAAATAGAGGTTTAAGATAGCGGGCAAACAATTTTGGTCCATGAATCGACCCTTGAGGGACACCAAACTTAAAGAGAAATTTCTTCAGGCATTTCATCGCCAATATTGACTATTACGCGACGGTTTGTCAAATAAGTTCTGAAGAACTTAATTTAAAAGCTTTATTTTGCTACTTGATTTTTTTCTGGACATCTTTCTGTGTGTTCTGGAAGTTCTATTTTTTCCTTCTAGTAGCTACTAATGCCGTTTTGTTGCTTAAATATATGAACTGCAGCTTTGCCTCTTCTCTGTAAGATACAGAAAGAACTGCTCGTATCGCGGCAAAGCCTTGAACATTTGAAGTGATCTTTAGCTTGTCTCGGAGATTTTATGTTTTTGCTTGTTTTCCGCAGCCAGCATAATGGCGTAATAATTGAATAAGTGAAATAATACACGGCTCTTAAATAATTCGGATACGCGTTGAGCAACATACCAGATAAATTGCTCAAAGAGCGCATAAATTAGTTCAAACCGGCAGTTTTTCAACTGTTTTAAACAAATATTGAACCCTCGAGAAATTCACCAAAAACGGCAACAAGTAACTCCTTCTTGCGATCTCACCTTGAGTAGGCGGATGACACTGGGACCCCTCCATGCGTTACTGCAGTGGGATTAGAACCAATTGGCTTAGTTTTAAAGGCCGCGCGTCTTACTCATTAGATTATTAAAGGTTTCCGGATGGCTATAATTGGTTTGAATAAGTTTTAAAGTCACCCGAGCCTAACGTTCCGTTTGATATTTTTGAAAGACTCGAAATATTGTACCTGAGAAAGATCGTTGCTCTTTTTGCGATCTTGAGCCTAGTAAATTTTCGAAAAGTGTGAAAAATTTGCGAACCTAATTCAGATATCATTACTCTAGATTTATTTCTGCTTACGCTTTGATCATGATTCTTTTTCATAATTCATTGGATCTTTTTAATTGGCATGGGATTTTGTGGTATAGGCGATTTTTATACTAGGGATCTTTTGGTACGGTATCTTTTGTCATGGGAGCTTTTGGTATGGTATCTTTTGTCCTGACACCAAATTTTCTTTTAAACAAGCATGTTTTTTTTTTGTAGCGCAAGTGCTGCGAAGCTTCGCTGTGTATAAAAAAAAAGATTGAATGTCACACCTAGCATTCATTATCTGATTGCTTAGAGAAATCCAGCTCGTGTCGACACTAATTGAAAGGATATTAAATAAACAATAAAGCTTATCATCAGCTAGATATTTGCAGAATGTCGCTAATCTGATCTAAAGCCGCAAAGTGTTGTAAAATTGATATCAACTGAAAACCTTCATTTCATTGATCAAATTTCTTATTCATGGAATTTACCATTTTTAGCTTCACTTCTCTACATGTAAATCATCCGCGTATAATTATCAGCCAGTTAGTTTTTCATCATCAATCAACACAAAACAACAAAGACCAAGTGTGTTCGAAGTTTTTTAAATAGTTGTGCGCAGCTGATTAAAAATTAAATGTGTTATGTGAGCTTTTGCTGTGATTGAAACTGTATGAGATTGAGAATATGATCCAAATTTATTACTGACTCTTATGACAAAAACGCACTTTTTATGGTTCCAAGTTAACAACAATCTCCGACATCAAAACCACGTCCAATTTCTTTGCACAGCACTTTCAGGCCCAGATTCAAAATGATTCAGCAAACATTCTGTGATAGGAATTAAACCTGAAACTGCAGCGAGCATACCTTATCTGAATAGATTACCCTTGCAAATTAACTTTATTGAGTGTACAGTTTATTAGGCATCGCCTGTAGTTTTCGACAAATCTACAAGTACACTCGGATTAACATCGGAAGAATCGACATGAAACTTGGTTAATTACGCTTGCAATCATAGACTTAGTTTTAATACTACGGGTTTATGATGAAAACAAAATCAATCAGCGTGTTTATTAACAAATGATCAAAATTTTTTGTTCCCAAATTGATCGTCTCGGCTAGTTGAAATTTTGACTGGCTGAAAGCAGAGACAAATTACAGTCGGTTAAGATTTCATCAATAAGTATTAATTGGCATTGCTGGTGCAGCATTCTTTGACCCCTTTTTTTACAAAGTTATAATAAAAAATTGTTACCTTGAGAATCTAAAAAATAGACGAGGAAAAAAGATAGGAAGAAGAAGAAGCAACGTGTGATGCAGAGTGTGAAGTGTGTGTTGGTGGGGGATGGGGCGGTGGGGAAGACGTGTATGCTGATCAGACTCACCCAGAACCACTTCCCCACTCAGTATGTGCCCACTGTGTTCGACACATACGACTTCAAGTTCACAGTCCACGACAGACCCGTCTGCCTCAGTCAGTATAGTATCATCACATCATTACAATTATAGTCTCCTCTCATAGCAAAACCATACCTTATTTTACTCCCGATCATGAAATTGAGTAGCAGGCAATTTAAACGACCATTTGCAGAGCTGCTTTGGCCGAAAGTCGACCAGCCAAAAATTGTCAAATAAATGAACGCTCTCTTTACTGCGCTTACGCTGGGCACTAGATGTAGTTGGTACATGAATCTGAGTGTGTCACTAATCTGGATTGCTATACGGAGGACCAAGACAAAAAAGTGTATAGATTTCTTAGTTTTTTCCTTGAAATGAAATAAAATGGAAACAAGGATAGCCGGTTACTGTGCAAGTAGCACAGAATGTTACGACCAGTCTTTAAAAATCTACAAGAAAAATCTTTTTTTTTTTCAAGTTCGTGGAGTTTTTTCTTCGTGGGGTGATATAAAAGTCTGATGTAAAACTATATTGTAGGCATATTTGACATTCATGGTAATATTAGCAAATTAGACATAAACTCACTTAGAAAATTGGCTAGAAAAACAAATATTCAAAAGTTTCAATTTTTTTTTTGCAGAAAATTTTCCGATTTTTTAAAAAAAGTTTTTGGTTCCCAGAATGGAGCTACAAAACTCCAAAATTTTAAGGGCTTAAATTTCTTCTAATTAAGTTGTATGCCTGATCGCTCGCTTTTTTCGCTCGAAATTAGACGAAAAATCAAAAGTTTCAAACCGATTTTTTCTCGACATTAGAAAAAATGTTCAGGAATTTTTTTATGTAGTTCGAATCAGGACTGAAAGGGTTTTAATATGCTATATCACGCAACCCAGTCCGATAATTGTTTGTGGTACCTGATTTTGCGTAGAAAACAAAAAGAAAAAATCTAAAACACAACCGAATACTAAGTTCCTCCCCATTTTCAATGGTCGGAACAATAAATAATTAATTCGACAACTGCAAAGCTTTGGCGCGTCTAAACATTCACATCAGGGGCGGATTTAGGGAGCGGGTGGGGTATAGACGCCATCTACCTGGAATTCGACCCCCTGCCGACCCAAAGTGTCCCAATTTGTACTATTTTGATATATCCATATTTGGTGGGCTCTAAATTTTTTCTAAAAGCGCCTTCGGTGCCAATATATACTAATTTTGAAGGAGAAGCGCCCCGAAAAAACGCGACTTTTTGGTCAAAGTGTTTGCCTGTGGCGTGGAAAATTTGGCAAAAATGGGGTCTTTATAGTGATTTAGGGAGCTCATAAAATCAAAATAGTCGACCCAAAAAAAGTGGACAAAAATGTCGAACATTTTTATCTGCACCCCCCCTCTCGACAAAATCCTAGATCCGCCCCTGATTTACATAAAAACTATTTTCAGTATGAGTATTATTAAGACCCGGAAATTAGATGTCTAGAGACAGGGGCGGATCTACGATTTTCTCGAGGGGGGGGGCGGATTTTCAAAAACAAATTCGAAAATTTTGTCGACTTTTTTCTAGGACGACCGAATTGGTTTTTCGAGCTCTCCCTTAGCTTGGTTTAGTCCCTTTAATGGCCTAATTTTCTTCGCCGCAGGAAAATTTTTGAAAAAATAGTCCAAAAAATAGACTAAAAAAGTACCAAAGAGGCTATCTTTGTCTTTTCTTCAGGAAAAATGTTCAGCCGAATGAATCATTTTTTGCTATGTTCCTAACCCCTCTCTACCACACTGCCGTCCATCTGCAAATACGCTTCAAAAACAAAAATACGAGGATAATAAGTTTTTACAAGCAAATTTTTTATACAAATATACAAGTAATTGCACAAATACTTCTAATCGGGAACTAAACTTTTTTTCCCGTACACAACTTTTCTTACAAATCTTACTTGCTTTAATATTGAACCCTAACAACTTCCAAGCTCAGTCCCTCCTGGACTTGAGGTAACATCGTCGCCTTTGTATCCTAAAATCTGGGGTTCTAGCCCCACAGGCAACGGGGACCGCTTAGCTTTACTTTGTCAACGCTTAAAAAATCACATATACGAACCACAAGAAAAGAGCTAATTAAAAAACAAAAGGAACTCCTAAAATTATTTAAAAAACTTCAAAAACTCTACAAAACTGAAAAGAATAAGGATTGCCGGATGCTGTGCGGGTAGTCTTGTAAATTGTGTATATTTAAGTTGGTGTTGTGATAAGAACATGAGACCAGGAACAAAAATAGGGACAAATTGTAAAAAAAAAAACGCTGTGATCTGAAGAAAAACTTACAACTTAGGCATATTCGATATACTTAGACAAAAGTTTTACTCGCAAAATGAATAGAAAAATAAAAAACGGTTAACCTGATTATACGCCTGTTCGCTCGCGTTGTTCAATCAAAATTTGTCTTAAAATCAAAAATTTAAATTAATGGAAAATTTTCGTTGCGGTCGAATCACTTTATATCATTTGACCTAATTCTATGACTAGTTGTGGTATCTGATTTTGCGTGGGAAAAAAACTAAAACAACCGGAGACGAAACTTCTCCTTTTTGAGTGGTCGGAACAATAAAAACTGTAACCAAGAGGAACCACTATGTGACAACCAAATAACTGTGAAAATCAATCCAAAAAAAAAGAATTTAAAAAATTAGAAATATTTTGATAAACCAAATCGACCATCCAAAACTTAACATAAACTAAACATTTAGCTTTTCACGTTGAAATTTTTTTCGAAATTAGAAAACTGCAGTACTAGTTCAAAATTGGCAAAAAAATCATGCACCTCGTATGTTAAATATTCTCTCGGAAAATCGAGATAAACACTACCCGCACTCAGTGAAAAAAGAAATTAGCTGATTATATTAGAATTATAATTTTACTTTTATCAAAATTATAATTAACTATAAGCGCCAAATTTTGATGTTTACACAATCAATGCTTGTGTTATAGTATGAACTATCTTTTTTTTCCAACCTAAGTCCCAAATATTTATGCGACGCAAATATTGTTGCGATAAAATGTGTCATTTAAATCAATAGCCAGCTATTAAGTACAGCCAATGCTAAGTATTTTAACACAGACTATTATTGATCCGACTTTCGTATTGAAAGTAACGGAATATTTGTGCTCGGGGTGGTTTTTTTTCAGACAAGTTTCGACTTTTAAACTAACATTTTTGACGGGATTTTTTCTCATTCAAAAAGTATTGTTAACCTAAAGTTAAATTTGGAAAGATATTGATCATATTTTGTAAAGTTATGGAAAGGTAAAAATTGCCACTTTGGCCAATTTGGGACAATTAACGTGCGCTATATTTCGCGCAATGGTTGAAGGAAGCTTATTTGCCATAATTGATTTACTAGGAGTGAAATGTATCATTTTGTACTTAATATGGCGTGCGGGGGGATGATTTCCGCAAAAAAGCTCAAATCAAAAAATTTCATTATATTTTCATTACATTTAATTTTTTCATGATATTACGGCTCCATAGACTGACTGGTACTGCTAATGCTTCATAATTGGCGTGCGTCACTTAAAAGATTTTAAAGACTCAAAGTTATACTCATTCAGTTTTCCCAGTAGCGTTATCGGTCATATTTTTGCTTGTGTATGCGAAGTGCAACTTCGCCTCTGTAATAAACGATTTATAATCCATTAAAATGATAACATTTTTCGTGACATTGTAATAAAATATAATTGATTGTATTTATCCGAAAATCTTTTATAATCTTTAAAAGTGAGATGTCTTGTCTTTTTTTGGTTAATCTGAACACAAAGTTTTACCACTAAACAAAACAAAACTTTTCATAGAGGTCTCATCATATTTAGTTGAAAGAATCCCGCGGTAGGTGATATTTAGTGTTCTTCTATATAAATCATGAAACAACTATAATCAAGAAGAAATGAAAAAATAAAAACGTTATTTTTTAAATATTTAAATGTGGGCTTCACTATTTCGCCACGTTTAAGCTTTTTCAACGTATTATTTTTGCTTATTTAACAAAATAATTTTTCCATATTTAATCTATATCGTATATTGCAATGGTTAAGATTCTCCGATTTTCCAGTTTGAATTCAGTATCTATTTCACTAAGTGTGAAATTAGCAACCCAATAATTGGTTGCTGTCAGGGCTTCACCAGTGTTGTGATTTTGGCCTCCATATATGAGTAACCAAATCTTTTTAGTTAACGAGACACGGCATTTTTCGAGATTTTTCAAAAACTTCAGAAAACGTAACTTTAAAAAACTTCACAAAATTTCAAATTCTCAACCCTGTAGTTGGGCGCTGTCAGAGTATTCTAAGGGGTTGCGAATCTTGCCTGCGTTTTCATTTCTCATCTCAAATCCTTGTAATTTTCGAGATATGACCTTTTTTTATGATTTGTTCAATGATTTTCAAAAAGGTATATTTAAAAAAAATTCGAACATTTTAAAGATCTCAACCCTGTAGTTGGAAAATCTAAGGTTACTCTCAAGGGTAGCAAATTTTGTCTCTGAATACGACTGCCCAAATCTTTGTACTTTTCGCTATATGACGTTTTTGGGATTTTTTCAAAAACTTTCAGAAAAGAATTTTTTTTTCGTCAAAGTTTGAAATTCCCATTTTTATAATGGGGGCTGTCAGAGTACTCTCAGGGTCTCAAGGGTTGCGTATCTTGCCTTCAAATATGACTGCTCAAATCCTTAGAGTTTTGCAATATGGAAGAGTTTCATGATTTCTTTTTAATTTTTCAGATAACTTGAATTTTAAAAAATTCAAATGATTTGAAAATCTCCACTTTGTAGTTGCGTACTGTGAGGGTACTCTCAGGAGTTTCATGTTGCAAGTTTTGCGTCCCAATGCGACTGCTCTAATGCGTTCAGTTTCTGTTGTAGTGCATTTTTTTTTAATTTTTCAAGGATTTTATTTTTAAAAATTTTTTATGTTCCCATCTCTATAGTGAGGATTTATCAGGGCACTCTTAGGAGTTGCGAGTTTTTCCTTCAAATTCGACTGCTTAAATCATCGTAGTTTTTGAGATATGACGTTTTTATGATTTATGATACGTCCAAATGCGACTGCTAATTTCCGAGATGTGAGGTTTTTCGGTCATTTTGAAAATTTTCAACAAACTTCGATAAAAAAATCACAAAATTAAATGGTTTTTCTTACATTTTGACTAATTGTTCAAAATTTGAAATTGCAAACCCTGTAATTGAGTGCTGTCAGAGTACACTCAAAGGATGCAAGTATTATTTCCAATATATGCCGCATGGCGAGGCCAAACTGTGCACTGGATAGGAGCTCAATTTTGTGTCTGAATGTTCCTGGATTCCAGAGACAAGTCTTTAAACATGTTAAAATTTTGTCGGAACGATCAAAGAGAACGAAAGAACAAAAGAAAAACAAAGGGAGCGTCCTTGTTGCGGAATCCGCTTACAATGCACAAAATGCACAGTTTGGCCTCGTAATGCTTTTTTTATGAGTTGTCATAAATTCGAAGCACCGAAGGTGCGTTACACGCTAGTAAATTTGAATTCATTTGAAAACTGGTTAAAAAACCCTATTTTTGACACAAACCAACGTCAAAGAAAAGCATAAAAAATAAGCAATTCAGGTGCAAGGTTGAAGACAAAATGGTCAAACAAAGGGGAATATAAACAATTATAATCGATTATAATGGATTTTTTCTGCAAAACAAATGAATTAGAAATTCGGATAAAAATAATCGATTATAATTTATTATAATTGATTATATTTGATTGTAAAATGAGAGATTAGAGTCAATTATTTATTGATTAAAATCAATTTTTTCTCTATTTTTGTAAGACTTGTATCATATTATAATCGATTATTAACGCTTGAAACTGGATGCGGGTAATGATAAAGTTTTGGACGAAACAGACGACATAATAAATCCAAGCCACGAATAGAAAAATGACAGATAGTTGATTTTCACAATTTGAGCCTTCTAATTGATGTGTGATTTGAGCTGAGAGCAAAAGCTTTTTTTAAGTTTCCGACTTGACAGGCACCCGTCAAAAAACATGCCCCATAATTGGACGCATGGTAACCTTTGATTGGGCGCTTTTGAAAAAAATTGAACGTGATTCCCAGAAATCAGTACTCGATTAAGAGGGAGGGGATCGGTTAAGTACGTCCTAATTCAAGGGTTAAATTTGGTGATAAGTGTTACAAAAATTGTTAGATTGTCATGTAGAATTCCTGAAGAGTTAAATGAGATGGCGTTAAAGAGCAAGGATCGAAATTGCAGACCATCATTTTTTCTTTGATTATTTTTTTTCTTTCGATGATATTGGTTTCTGAGAAGTTATTTTCTCTGTTTTTTTTGTGCTCTAGTGCTAGAAACCATTTGTTTATAGGACCAATCGTTTTTTTTTGTTTTCTATTGGATAAATTTGGTTTTTCAGTGGTTCCGACGTTAATCGGGAACTAGATTATTTGAAAAAAAATTTTTCATTTCCTCAACATTTTTGGTCTCTCCGTTTTCGTGCTATGTGGCGCTGACGTAATGTTTTAAAACTTGTCTGACATCTGTAGATCTTTCTAGTCCAAATCGGACACTCGGAAATTTGTTTAGGTTTCGAATTTTTTCGCCATTTTGCTTTTCAGCTCAAATCTTGATGGCCTTGGTCAAAGCTGAGCGTTCTATTCAGTGTAAACCGGTTTGAATTTTGTATATCTAGGTTTTTTCATTTTTCTATGCGTACAAATCAATTATGAAATTTTTTTTCGTTTGATAATTTTTTTTGCATTATTTTTTTTGAAGAATGTGTTACTTTGTATATTATAAATTCGATAAAAGATCTGCGCACTTGGCACAGTAATTATATTTATGCTTGAGGCGATAAAGGCCGAGAGCTTGATTCCAGTCGGGACCCTGTTTATTTGCGAACTGAAAATTTGCCGCTAACTTAGACTATCGTCTATGTTCTTTTGTCGGCTTAGTAGCGTAGTTCCCACAGAAAAGATTTTTGACGATTCAGTTTTTTTTCCTGCGTTCCAAAATATCTTTGTAATGTTTCTAATGGTGCACGATTTTTCTGCTTTTTAGCAGCTTTTGTAATTTTTAACAAAAAAGAAAACATTTTTTTAATGTTTGATTTTTTTTTCATCCATCTATCTATAATATAATTAAATGCGGGCTTCACTATTTCTCACGTTTAAGCTTTTTCAGCGTGTTAATTTTGCATGTTTAACGAAAGAATTTTCACGTTGAATCTATATCGTATTTTGCAATGGTTAAGAATTGTTTTTCGATTTTCCATTTGAGTGTCCTTATTTCACCTGTTAAATATTTGAATGCGGGCTTCAATATTTCGTCACGTTTAAGTTTTTTCAATGTGTTATGTTAGCATGCTCAACGAAAGAATTTTTGCACGTTTAAGTTATGTCGTATTTAGCAATGGTTATGAATTGTTTTTCGATTTTCCAGCGTGAATGTGTTTATTTCACCAAGATTAAAACAAGCAGCCTAATAGTGAGATGCTGTCAGGGTCCTCCCAGGGGTTGCGAACTTGGCCTCCAATTTGAATGTCAAAATCATTTTAGTGTAGGAGATTCGACGATTTTTGTGATTGTTTCAGAAATTTTCAGAAATCTCAAATAACAAAATAAGTTACAATACTTGAAATTCCCAACCCTATAGTTGGGTGCTGTTAGAGTACTCTCAAGGATTTCGAATGTTGCCTCCAAATTTGACTGCTCAAATCCATGTAGTTTTCGAGATATGACATGTTTTATGATTTCTTTTTAATTTTTCAGATAACTGAAATTTTAAAAAATTCAAAAGAAATGAAATTCGTTATCTTCTATTTGGGTACTGTGAGGGTACTCTCAGGAGTTCCAAATTATAAATCTTGTCCCCAAATGCGACTGCTCAAATGCTCTTAGTTTCCAAGATGTTACGTTTGTTATGTATTATTTTCTATAATTGTTCAAAGATTTTAGATATAAAATTTTTTTAAACAAAATTTGAAGTTCTCATCTCTAAAGTGAGGCTCTGTGAAGGTACTCCTGGGAGTTGCGGTTTTCGCCGTCACATATGGTTGCTCAAATCCTTGTAGTTTTCGAGACTGGCGTTGCTTGTGATTTTTCAAAAAAAAATTCAGAGAATTTAAACGTATCTTCTTCCAAAATTGAAATTCTTAGTTCTGTAGTTTGAGGCTGTCAGAGTAATCTCAAGGGTTGCGAATCTTGACTCTAAATATGACAGTTCAAATCCTGTTAGTTTCTGAGATATGACGTTTTTTTATCGTTTTTTTTTTTCAAAATCTTTTTTTAGAAAACTTAAGTTTGAAGTTTTCCAAAGTTTGAAATTCCCAACATACTGTACTCTCTGGAGCATTTGTAGTTGCCGATATGTGACGTTTTTTTTTCATTCCAAAAGTTTTTAAGAACTTAGATATAAAAAACTTCACACAATTTGAAATTTAATTGAAAATTTGAATAAAAAATTTTACAAAATTTGAAATTACCAACCCTGTAATTGGGTGCTGTCAGAGTACACTCAAAGGATGAAGATCTTATTTTCAATGTTTGCGGTTTTTTATGAGTTGTTAAAAACTCCAAGCACCGGAGGTGCGTTACATGCTAGTTTGATTTAAATCATGGTCATTCCTTTTTGTACCGCAAGTGGCGCAAAAAGGAATGACCATGATTTAAGATTTTTGACTTAATCTTAAGCTTAGCTTCTGTGTCTGAAATTCTGTCGGCATAGTTGAGTTTTTGTTGACGCTTTTTGATACATTCATTTTGCAATGTATGTGTTTTCACTTTCCTGTTTTTGCCATTTTTGCGCTAAATAGAAATATTTGGTCACGCTTGGATATATTTGGAGTCTTTTTTCGATATTCTGGTATTTGGTGTCTGTTCTTCGTCTATATGCTGTTTCGATGTTCTATGAAGATACATCGGAATTTAACTTGAAGGCACGTTCTCATTTAACATATATTGAATAGCTAAAATTATTTTTTCATCATCCCTGTTCTTATGTAGCCATTCATTTCTATGTGATTCTAAACACCTGTTTGACTAGCTGGTTGAAAGTCATTAATGCTCAAACGTGAGTTAAGGAGATGTGATGAGTGTTGTGTTGTTGTGTAGAGTTGTGGGACACTGCCGGCCAGGAGGACTATGACAGATTGCGGCCCCTCTCCTATAGTGGCACAGATGTGTTCCTTCTGTGCTACTCAATCGACTCCCCCACCTCCCTCGAGAACTGCTGCTCCAAGTGGATACACGAACTGCGCCACTACTGCGACGCAACAGGTCAGTCTCTCCTCTCCTTTCCCCACCTAGACATCAAACAGTTCAGTCTCTACTCATGCATCCTCTTGCGCCTCATAGATTTATGCCGAACTATTGTTTCCAAATACAGAATTATTTCAATTGATAAATTCAATAATTTCCAGTTCATAAAAGTGCACTCAATTTTGGCTGACTTTTAAACATGCGCTTCGTCTGGCTTCTGCTTACATTATTTTTCGGAATTATCTTAACTGCTATTTGAAAATGATTTTATATATGCGAATTTTGATTGTAGTAAAAAAAATTACGGTCCAACCTTCCTTAACCCAAAAACTGGACGTCATTGCCACTTGAATCTTCTACGAATTTATTCGATGAGATCTAAAACTTAGAGATCGAAAAAAATAGCGTGGGGGCACATGAGGGCATGCACAATCGAAGCTAAAAGCGCGTCAAAGTTTGTCTGAACCCGAATCGGATCTTCAATTTTTCGGTTAAATGAATTCCTGATCTGAAAGTATTATTGAATTTGTATCTGAATTTATTATTGAAACTAATGGGCAAAGAGTGCGATTATGGATAGAAATCATTTTGGACAGAATTGTCATGCTTGGCTCCTTCTTTTTTAGTTCCGATTGTTCTCGTCGGGACCAAAATGGACCTTCGCAAACAGAGTGGCCGACTAAAGTGTGTGAGAAGTGAAGAGGGGGCAAAAATGGCCTACAAAATAGGAGCCAATAAACACACAGAGTGTTCTGCTCAGACGGACGAGGGCTTGAGGGATGTGTTCGTTGAGGCTGTCGAACTCGTGCTGACAAAACCGAAGCAGAACAAAAAGAAGAAAAAGTGCGAAATCTTCTAATAGTGCTCCTCGATTTATTTATGGATTATTATTGCAATACACGCTTTTCGAGTTTAATTCAGCTTTGGCAATATAGTTTTTTCTAGAATAAGGTTCTGAAAAAAAATTTAAATTTCACCTATAAATTTTAAACCGAGTTGAACAGGACGGCTAACGTAATTTCAAAGGACAGATGTGATGAGTTTTGAACCACTTTTCAGCCAGTGTTTTGCCTAATTTGGTTCATGATTAATTACCCTTGCAGTGAGCAAGGGTATTGCAATCGGGTACTAGACTCTTTTCCCTTAAACAACTTTGTTCACAGAATAGTAGTTTTAGTAGGAATGGTAAATATCATTTCTGACATATTCAAATTCTAAAATTTCAAATAAAATTACCCTCATTTAGGTAGCAATTAGGTAAAGACTGTTTCAGGTTGTTATTAATTGTTTTTTAATTATCAATTTTTTTTCGGTTTTGTGGTTTTCGTGTTAGTTTCTGTCGGTTCATTTTCTGTTTTTTTTAAACGCACAATTTTTTATCTGGCAGTGTTTTTATTGGCTTACTTTTTAAAGCATGAGTTTTAATCCAATTTAAACAGTTTTTTACTATAACTGAAAGTTCAGTAAATTGTAAATTTATTTATTTTCAACATTTTTTTGTTTTTAAATATTTAAACAGTTTGTTATTTCGGCTTGGTCAATTTATATTGCGTAATTTTGAGGGCATAAATATTCTTAATGGATTATTTGCTTCTGTACGAATGGGTCGTAAAAACTTTCAAAACTTTATGAACTTTTTTATGAAAACAGTGAATAATTTCCAATTTTTTAAAGCTGTTTATGAACTTCATCCGATACAAAGATGAAGTTTTTGTATCTGTAGATTTTCACCTTTTTCAAGTTATATTTTCAACGTAATTTTTCAGATTTTTTAAACTGTCTTTTCTCCATTGACTATATTCTAGCAAATGTGCAGCGCAATTCGAAGTTTTTCAAGCGAGTTAAGACCATTTGTTCACGAGGGAAAGGACCATTATACGAGCTATACAGCTCATCTCGGCGAACCGCTGTTGTGCCCCTGCTTAAGAACTTCATGCACTTTTTTGGTTATTTTTTCTGGGCTGGGTAGTGTTGCCTCACCCGCAAGCAACGAGCACGGATCATGGTGGGCCTCGAACATCCGACCTTTCGCTTAACCGCCACTCCCCTTGACGTAACCAGCTCAGTACTGACTATTGTGTTCTGCCACAGGTTTTCATCAAAATGAGTTTCTGTTTGGAACAAACATTTGAAATTTCCGGGTGTTTTTTTTGGCGTTTGCTCAATTTTTTTTCGGTGGCTTTGTGTATCACAATTGTTGCGATGGCTTTGTGTATCGTAAATTGTTCTGGCTATAAGATTATACGAGGGACTAGGCTTTTCGTATCAGCTTTAGGGAAACAATAATTGGCAATAGTCTGTTTTTTGTAGATAATAATTTGTGGCTGCAATTGACATGTTCCTCAATTAGTGCAATCTGAGATCTTTTGGGTCACTGTAGGCGAACTCGTAATATTCTTGGGAGACATTGCCATAATTGCGAGTTTATAAATGAGGATTCGACATCCTTCTTATAAAATTGTTTGTAGTGTGATACGTTCAGTCTATTTTTTCCAACCTAAGTGGAATATGTTTGTGCAAAAATAATTATGTTTGTGCCCAATTACACAGCGATCCAGCTGTATCTTGTTTAAACCACAATTTTTGCTGCACAAAATTAAGAACTCAGTTTGCGCGATTTTTTTTTAGAAAAGGAACTTTTTTCGCGTTAACGATCATTCGATAGCTAAAGCGGTTAGCAAGGGTTTGGTAATATCGTTAGAAATTTTGTTCGCCGTTTTCATGTACCTAATCTGCTCTTCACTCAGTTGTGTATAGAAAGGTCGATTCGAGGCAACTAATGAAAACAGCCCGTGGGTAAATAAATATCGAAAGCAGGCTGATTGGTTTGACCACTCGCCTTAAATTGTGGGAAGAAACTACGGGGTTGAGAGTTTTTTTGCAGTCAATTTTGACTACTAGAAGAAACCTCGCTGGTGGACTAAAAACAGAAATTTCCCGTGTAGAATTTTATTCACAGAATTCGAACGTGAGATGTTACGTACTTCATAATAAGATCACATCGAAAGACTGTATCTGCAAATTTGGTAAAACCCATGCTTGGGACGACAATGAGACAGGATTCGATTCGGTCGGGAGCCGATTATTCGTTTTTTTTCTTTGTTTTTACAGGCTAACTTTCAAAGGCATTCCTTTTTTGACATAGTTGTTTTTTTGATTATAATTGCAATGCATATTATTTAGTACTGTAATTTTAAAATCGATTGACCTGCTATGGTTTTGTATAATTTCTTTTAAATTTTTTTCTCTTTCTTTCATTTTAAAGTGGAACCTGATTTAAACTACATTTTATGATTGGATAAATTAGATATTTTACCACTGTAAAGAATTTAATATTAACCAATCATGATCCATCTAACTAACAACCCACTTATTTGTAAGTGCTGAAATTACTTGTAATTTCAGCACCAGAGAGATTTGAATTTAACTTAGAACTTAGTTGCCTCTCCGAGAGAACTTCAGCAGCCGCAATAAACCAGTATACCCTAGATCTATTGAGCCTAGCAGAGACTAGTTAAACAACCTGAGACTAGATAGTATAAGAGTAAGATTAGGATCGGTATTAGACTAAGAAGTTGCACGAATCTATCCGGCCGAAAATAAGATAGCGTGACGAGCAGACGGTGTACCCTATCCGAAATTACTCTATGAGTTAACCACATCGGTCCTAACTCATCTGGTGCGACCATAAGTCTCGAACAAGACCTTAATAGCTTAGAATTAACCAAAAATAGATTAGAATTTAGACAAAACATTTTTAAAATGTTACACGACGATAATTTAATCGAAATGTCTCTACGACTCAATAGATCAAAGCCAATATTCCGAACGATAAGAGAACTACCCGGAATTGGAAGAAGACCTCGAACCAGAGACGACATACGACAAAGTAGAAACTTACCAAATAGTTATATGATAGTACGGCAAAAGCCAACACAAACTTTTATATTTAGAATTTTATTAGCAATGAATTTAGATTTTCATTTGCAAACTTAAATCTTGAAGTCAATCTTCATGATCATTTCAGGCGCTAAACAAAAATATTAATATACAATAACGATTGATAAAAAGATTTCAGATCGTTTTCCTAAAATTCTGCAGTATTCTATAAAACATGTTTGGAAAATATTTATTGAAAATCAAAACAAAAATTAGTAGCATGACAATAAACTGTTAGTAATCATAAAATCATCAGTTGTCCCAGCTTCATCACCTAAAACATAACAGCAATCATAAACTCACTAACATCATAAAAACACTAAATCTTTTCTTAAATAAAATTAAACCATTTTAAACTTAAATTCATTTAATCTTAAAATCAGATCATCAAGGCTTATCCTTGGATCTTAATTAATTTTCTATTTAATTAAAATTACAAAACTTGATCATCAAGGCCTATCCTTGGATCAAAAAGAACATTTTGTTCTCCCCCACCCACTTAGCTAGTGTCTAACGACCTCAAACGTCGATTCACTATCCAACCCTTTCAAAAAACCCAAGACTAATAGAAATTTTTGAACAAAACTAATCATTCAAATTAGGATAAACAGTGAATAACTTCGGTTATTCATCCTTCACTTGAACCCTCCTCTTACCAGACCCAGGATAAATCGTAGACTTAGTAAGTTTAAAATAGTATCTAACGAACTACTCGCGTTCTAATTATACCTGAACCTTGTGGATCGATTTACTATTCTCCAACCCTTGAACACAATCACTACCCCTAAGTAAGATTAAGTAAGTTAACACCTTAGCTTATACTAGCCACGAGAAAGTAAAAAATCATTCTTCGGAATCGATATACTTTTCTCTCCAACCCTGAACAAATAGACCCAGGTTAAGCTAACCAAAAAATCGTAAGGACTAACAATTTAAGAAAATAGAAATAATCTAACAACTTTTTGCATCCGTCATCCTAAACCTTATGTCATTTAAAAATCTAGGAAACAAACAAACTATCGTTTTGCACAACTGTGAAATAGATAACCAAAAATACGACCTTGTAATCACACCTCACACACAAACAGTTGGATATATTAGAACAAAACGACAAACACTAAAAAGAAAAATAATAAACAAGCAAAGACAAATAACACGAAAAAGATTTTCCAAAAATAGAAACGCATTTTCAGAATCAAAAGCCAGCAATTTAGACGAACTTTATAAATTAAAAGAATCTATAGATAAAAATTGCCCCATTCACGATCAATTATTTTTTTCCGACTCAGAAACAACTTCAAATTCATCAAAAAGAGGAAAAAGAAGAATAAAAAAGCAATATAAACACAAACCAGTACATTTATATAATTGGAATCAACCAATTAGACATATCGATAATTACCTATTTACAGTCATTAAACGAAAAAATGAGCCAAACACACACTCCAAGTGAAGATAGTCCAGATGATGACGATATCTACCCCTTCCTCGTAGATGCACCCAATGATAGAGGACAGCATATACTTTGCAAGAATTTACTACTAAATTTATTTGAACCCAGAATCAGCCCATGTAAAGCAGAGTTTCCAGATGTAAAGATCAAAAGACAAATTATTGATCACTATCTGAAAGATATATGTAATTTGACAAAACAATACGGAATCTACACCATAGAATTCAGCTCACCAAACCCGAATCACCGCAAATATGTAATTCAAACAGACGACCTTGATTTAGAATTTTCAAAAGTATTCTCAGAATACATAAAAAGCATACAATATCATAACTCACAAAGAGCAAACTCCATATTCACTAATGAAGTTTTTGCTATAATATATAGTTATATCTCAATATTAGAAAACGAAATTCCAATCCCAAGTGTCTCACCGACAGAGACATCTAAACATATAAAGGTACGACATGAAATCACACTATTTTCAACTTTTCTACATATAATTAAGGAAAATTTCACTAAAGACG